GTGTGACTTAGATGTTTTTTTTCTGTCACTGAAGGTAACTGCAGGTTTTGTACCTGTCATTGTGTGTCTTGTGTGTTGTATCTTTTTGCCATAGAGCTTGTACATGTGCATAGTATGAAAAGATAGGTGAATATCCTGAGTTTTCAGTCAAATGCACAAGCGCCTTACAGACTGCTTACTTATGGAATAGATTGTCATTCATTTAAAGTTTCTGAAGTTCAGCAATGTCTTTGGAAGATATGTGTTTCCAGTTTTGGAAAAAAAATAGGATAAAGGGAGGAAGAGACATCAGAAATCTTCCGAACTCCTAAAATGCATATTTTAGGGTAGCAGAGAAGTATCGGAAACCTCTCTTTTTAAGCAATGTGACGTTTGTTTTGCATACACATATTCTGTAGACATATTACATATTTTGCTTAAATATAAAGGGAAATGCATAGTTCCCAGAAGCCTTCACTTTAATTAAGAGTAGTATTGATCAATGAACACTGTACAATGATACAAACCTAGTTTATAAGCTAAAATTCTCCCTAAAGTTTAGATGAAAAGCATGGAGCATCAGGTAGGTTGCAGGAAAAGTAATTTTTTGTTTAGGGAACCTAAGTAGGGTCTACACCACCCCATTCCTTATGTCCCAAGGAGACAAACCATTTTCTATATTGTCTTGTCTTCACCTTGCAAGGTGCTTCTTCCCGTGAACTGCATTCTTCCCCTGACAGTGGGTTCTCCTTTTTGCTTTGCTTAGATTTAATCCCTAAATCTAACTGGGAAATGAAATTATTTTTCTAAATACACCTTGTTTATAGATATTTTTATCTTTTGCCACCATTTGAAGACACAATTTGGTTAATGGAAGAAATCAGTTCTCTGTGCTGCACAGTAGCCTGGATCCCTGAACTTCCAAGCTGTCACCTGATAGGGTTCAAATGTCTGTCAGGTTTGACTTCTGTCCTCTCTCTCTATCTCTCCTTTCTCAATTTCAGTTTAGACTGTTGGTTATGGTTAAATGATGCCTTCAGCTGGAACTATGAGATGAGCATCTTTGTTCAGAGATGATGGAATTTTGTTGCTGTTAATGCAAGAGGTTGAAACTTAATACAACCAACTGCCTAGGGGAGAAGAAAGTTCCTTTCATAGGTAAAAATATGTAAGCTCTGTTCTTAAACCTGTTCTTCCTCTGCCATCATGTAGGGGATTCATTTTAAGCCCTTAGCATTCTCTGAGGCTATTAGAATCTCATAATTTAAGTATTCTCATTCCCTTTGATATGACTCTGATCTTCCATTTATTCTTTCAGTAAACTTGCCCACATCATAAGATTGATTCATAGTTTGGGATTGAAAGGAACTATTTGATCTGAAAATTACAAATCAGATGGTCTGTATTTCAGGATGCCTGAGCAGAGGCTGCTTGGAGTGCAGCATTTTCATTTGGGCCCATCTTGTGTCTGATGAAGCAGATACAATGTTAAACTGATAGAGGTGTTCCAGATGGAACCTGAAAGTGAAGATGGAAAGAGTTGAAAAGTCCATTTCTTCCTGAGTAGCTTGTTCTGCATTAATAACTATATTTGGAGATCTGATGGTCAGCTACACCTATATAACATGCTTTGAATTCAACTTTTAATCACTGTTACATTAGGTCAACTGTCTGACAAAACTTCAGAGTTTATTATGTCTACTCATTTGCATTATTCAGCTCACTAAGGTGTAACCAAGGAAGGAATCTATCCTCTAAAAAGCTATGCAGATAATCCTTATACAGTGCTGTCTTTTATTGCTTTATATGACTCTAGTGTCAGGTTTTTCTTTATTTTGTCCATGACTTATAATGTAGCTAGCATGTAGTCATGTTACTTGTCTTTTTGTAGTGTGGGTCAGGTGTTAGAACTCTTTTGACCCCAGGAATTGCTCTGATTTTCCAGAAGTCATCATTTAAAAAGTAGCATCAGCAGGCCAGGGATCTGCTTAGGCAACTCTTTTGGGACTCCTGAATGCTTATTTTCTGGGCCTCCTAAGTTAAACTGTTGTGGCTAATGGATGTTTTTCTAATGTCTTCTATTATGAATGGACTAAAAGTATTCCATCATTATGGTACCATCATCTTCCTTCTTTTTGCAAGGGACATGTCTCAGTGTCTCAGAATGCTTCACTTCATTACTACTTTGTAAGTAATTTTTAGGTATTGTCTTTTGTCTCTCCTCATATTTCTACACTTCTGAGCTTCTGTCCCTTTCTTGCTGTCTTACTGTTTTTAAATTTGTGTTGGTTTTGGCTGGGATAGAGTTAATTTTCTTCACAGTAGCTAGCATGGGGCTGTGTTTGTGATGCTGGAAACAGCGCTGATAGCAGAGGGATATTTTAGTTGTTACTGAGCGGTGCTTATACAATGTCAAGGCCTTTTCTTCTTCCCACCTCGCTCCACTAGCAAGGAAGATGGAGGTACACAAGGAGTTGGGAGGGGGCACAGATGGGACAGCTGACCCCAAATGACCACCAGAATATTCCACACTTTATAGCATTGTGCTCAGCAATAAAACTGGGGGAAGAAGAAGCAGGGTGTATACAGATGATGGCATTTGTCTTCCCACATGACCATTATACATGATGGAGCTCTGCTTTCCTGGAGTGGCTGAACACCTGCCAGCCCATGGGAAGTAGTGAATTAATTCCTTGTTTTGCTTTGCTTGTGTGTGTGGCTTTTGCTTTTCCTATTAAACTGTCTAAACATCAACCCATGAATTTTCTCACTTTTACCCCTCTGATTCTCTTCTCCATCCAACCAGAGAAAAGTGGGCAAGCAGCTGTGTGGGGCTTAGATGCTGGCTGGGGTTAATCCACAATAAAACTGTTTACGTTTTTATGAAATTATGTAATCCAAAATAGGGTGAATTATCAGCCAAAATTGTCTGCTTTCTCATTCTCAGTTGTTGTATTTTTATTTCTTTTTTTGCTATGTCAAAATTTTTCCCACTTTTCTGTTGGGATTTTTTCTGCATTTATTTAGTTATCCTCATCACTTTGTCCAGTTTCAGTCTTGTGAGAATGGGGGGGGGGGGGGGGGTGGATAGATGTATGTATACATATCCATGCAGGCATCTATGTGTATATGTGTCATAGTTCTGATGTTAGCAAGGAATTTTTCTTTTCCTTCCCCCTGCCGTGTGTGCCCTGTGAATGGGCCATTAGGTGACCAAAAGAATCGACCTGGTGCACTGATGGCCAAGAGATTAGTCTCCTAGCAGCGAAGGGGGAGGAGTTGGGGGGGGGGCTACTGGTGTGTGGCTGGAAGGAGGTGGGGAGGAGAGGCTGGGTGTCAGCTCAGCTCTCTGCCCTCAGGGGAGCCTGCTGCAGGCTGCAGACACTGCCTGGTTTCTTTGAGTTTTTTTTCCCTGTCAGAGGGGAGTTTTGCCGATGCTCTCTGCTCAGCTGTTGCTGGCCAGCAGACCCTAATCAGCTGAAGTTCGTGAGTTTTCTTCCATTGGGAGAACTTTCTGTTTTATTGCTGTTTGCTTTCCTTCCCCTTTTTCCCCCTCCCCCCACCACCTGGCGGCAGCCAAGGATCTCACAGCGCCGCCTGGTGACGGGCACTGGACAAGTCCTACTCCTCCAGTGATCCAACAGCGCCGCCTGGTGAATGGTATAAGACATTACAAATTTTGCATCTCCAGTGACCCGACGGCGCCCTCTGCTGACTGTGGTTGGAACTGCACCAAAGGGGGCTAAAAATTGAACTATTTAATTTTCCTTTTGCCAGTTTATCGGTTTTGTTCTTGAAGGGGATTATTGGTGGGTATAGGAGTATTGCTTGGTTGTTTTACTTCTTTTTTTCTTTTTTTCTTTCGTGTTCCTATTAATACACACATACCTTTTAATAAAGGGCTGTTATTTTTCCCTTTTCCATAATTTGTTTTCCTTCAATCGGAACCTCCTAATTTCAGATTTATAATTGCTTAGAAAAAGAAGTTTGGGTCTTTTTCTCCTAATCCATCCTCAGCAAAAGACCCTTGTCTCATTTAAACTGGGACAATATGTGTTTAAGAACTGCTCTCTGTTTGTCCATGGTGAGTTTAATTGGACAGAGATTACCATCACTTAGGCAACTGGCAATTTTTACTTCAGTGATTAAGCTTTGTTTATCAATCATAATCCATCAAACTATGCCAGATGTTTCTGGCAGTAATTTAATATCTTTATGTAAACATTGTTGCTTTCCGAGTATTAAACAGAACCACTCTAAAACTTTTGAATTATTCTTTTGGCAAAAACTGTATATTTAGAGATAGATCATCCCTCACATCACAAAGCCAAAACATTCCTTTATAGAGTATGTTCTCTGCATGAAGAAACTAGATTGCATGAAAACTGACTTTGTATAAAATCTATATGCAGTTTTGTTTGAATCTACAAAATGTCCCTTTCCAATTATACTACTGTTTATTCTTAAGCAGCCCTCACAGTAAAGGAGATTCTTGCTGTAAGGAAACTAGATTGTTAGTAGTATAATGCTTGAAAACTGAAATGAAAAGAAGTTGTTGAACTTTTTACGAGTGTGAAATACTTGTTTCTACTGCTGGTCTTTCAGGTCTTTGTAAATCTGCTGTACCCACAGGATCTGCAGCTCTCAGACAGTGATGTGTTTAGCTCCCACACTTGGTGCACAGTTTGTAAATGTTTCAGACCAAAAGATTTTTTTTCTTTCTTTCCTTGCATTGTATTTCTGCACAACCATAGACTACAAACTTTTATTATGTTTTCTTTTCCCAGACAGTAGGAGAGTGCTTCTAGGACTGAGTGATGTTCTGTAGAAAATGCTATAAATATGCAATTGTCATCATTTTTATTCCATTTTCTGATTGCTTATGGAGTCTTGTGGCTCTGATACATGGCATGTTTATTCTGCTATTAAATTAACTGGTTGCATTACATGTCATGATTTTCATAAACAGTAATGGCATTCACCTGTAGCTTGGCTTTATTTTTCTTCTTTTTCTTTTACAGCTTTTTCACTTCCAGATCTCACTGAGCAGTTTGCACCTCCTGATGTTGCTCCACCGATTCTTGTCAAGTTAGTAGAGACCATTGAAAAGAAAGGTAGGCTGAAGAACAATCTACCAACGTTTTCTGTTGCTTATGTGAACCAAGACTGCAGAATTGGATCCAGAGCTGGCATCTCCCCTTTCTAGAGCTGATAATGCATCACATTACTTAACACTAGAAATAATCTCATTTAAGGTCTGTTGCACTGGTTTCTGCTCAAAAGAGCTATTTGGACTATAGGAGCAAAACCGAAGCTTATCTCAAATGACATTTAATAAGTCAACTAATATGAGTATTATTAAAAGTTAAGGGAGAAGGGTTGCTAATTTATACTGTAAGTACTTCTTGAAGAAAAGAGAAATATATTGTGTCAGGACAACGGTCACTGAAATATTAATATATCCCATTGATTTTGTTTTGAAGGTCTGGAGTGCTCAACTTTGTATGGAGCACAGGGCTCAAGCAGCTCAACAGACTTAAGACAAATCTTTGAATGTGGTAAGTACAGTTATTCTTAAAGCACTAGACAGATTTTGTGGTCAGATCACTTTTCTTTTCTTTGCTCCCCCACTCATATGTGCTGGTTCTCAATAATATAGTACTAAGAAGAAATATATATAAGTAAAAAGTTTTCTTTTACACTTAATATGAAAGGTATTTTTGACTTTTACAGATTCTTTCTTCATGGCTCCATTGTGTGTTTTTTTTCCAAGAATAATTATTTTAATCTCTGCATTCCTGTTGCTTGTTCAAAGACAGATAATCTAGATGTACAGAGAATAAAAAGATGTTTTGTTCAGAGTCAAGATAATGATTCATTGTTCCTGTAAGGCTGGAGGTTACTATTTTGTAAACAAATGGTCATTTGTTTGCATGTAGTTCTGTGTGTGCAGTTTTTGGTCCAGTAGGTGGGATGTCAATAACAGCACATTACCTACCCTGCTACAGAGTGATACTGGAAGGCAAAGAGACAATTGAATTAATATTGTAGGCTGGGTTCTCAGGTTTTAGACAGTAAAACACAACTACACCAATAATATCACTTACCCATTTAAGTTTCTTGAAATATATTTCCTTTTTTTTTTTGATACTCCTTAACACTGCTTCAGGCCAGAATATACTGGCTTGGCAGCACTCTGTTGCAGTAGGAGAGATCAGTAGCTATTGTAGGAAGAGTGCTTGACTTCAGCTTGGCAAGCTGGGGTGCAGTGTGTGCTGTGAGCTTTCACTTGGTTAAAGGAGCACAAAAATACAAGGGGTGGGAAATGAAACTGGCTACATGCCTTGGTGTCAAAGGGACAAAGAAAGCAAGCTCAAACTGTGAATTAGCCTCTTCATTTTTAGTAATTACAAATATTAACAAAATTAATAAGAGATGAGTTGTCTGTTCTTCTAAAACAAAAGGGCGTTCTGTCCTCTGCTGATTGTGGTAGGAGAAAAGAAGTATATGTGTACAAGCAGGGAGAGGAGACATGCTTGTGGTGGTAGCAGCCTCACACTAGCAGCCATATTTTTAGTTTGTAATTGTATTTTTCAGTCCAGATAAATGCAGATTTTCTGTGGCACCAATATGAATGTGTGTCTTCATTTATCTGCATCCTTTCTTAAGTCTCTAAACTAAGATGTACTTTTATGAAAGGTTTGTCTATCTCCTAAGATCAAAAACTTGTGGTTTACATGTGTTTTTACTTAAAATGTAGTTAGGTTTGAGAAATGAAAACGGGACTTCGGCCTTTAGTAACAGTGTCTCTTTCTGACTTCTCTTTAAGAAAGAATCAGAATCTTCCAGGGCAGAGCTAGTGCAGTGGGTATCCAGGTACATGGATTCGGACAGATCTCATCTCTTCTGCCTGCTCTCTTTGAATCAGCAGAATGCTAATTCAGAGAGCAAAGTCATCTTTAGTCTCAAAGTTTTGAACTTGCATTAGCATGCTGTTCTGCTAACAGTTAAAATGCTCTCCATAATTGGATAACTGTCTGTTAGCATCAACACAGTGCTATCTAGCTCTAAAATCAAAGTTGACTTGCATCTAGCCAGCTCGGCAGATGGAAGAGGTCAGCTCTGTTTATATCATTACACCCGAAGAGCTGCAGAGTAAGTTTATTCTTGCTTGTGTACTCACTTCAATAATTTGGGATATACTTCAAGGAAATGGTCAACACTGAAGAAGCATGATTTAACTTGGCTTATGAAACAAAAAGCATTCAGTGAGCAACAAAACTAATAAAAACTATTTCTGAAGAATTTGTGGTTGGATTCTCTGACAGATAATTGCTCTTGTAGAATTTATTCCCACACTGCAAGTTTTATATCATCTGAAACATTCATGATGTCTCTTTTCTCATGCAAATTCTTTGGTCTCTGATAAGATTTGAGCTCATACTGCAAACTTTTCTTCAGGGGAAACAGAAAGGAGGTGGAGTAGCACTAAGTTTCTCACTACCCCCTCCTGGCTGCCTTATTTCACAGTATTTGTAGACGCACCACATATCTGATTTCCTCTACCTCCCTGTTTACTTTAGTTTAAACTGGCCAAATGGATTCATGAGTTATTTTACGGAGGACCTGGCTAGCATAGAATGTTGATCAGCATTAATGCTTCTAAATTCTTGTACCAAATATGGATCTTTTTGGAAACACTGAGGACTTTACTGTGCCAGAGTTTCATGTTTCAGGATGAACCCTAATCTGGCTCCTACTAAGGATTTCTATATTTTCCTATTTTTGTTTTTGCTGCTGATATTCCTTTGTGTGACACTCCCAAACCTTATCCCAAGTCATAACTATCTTTGAAGGGTATCAGATTCTACAAGATAAATCCTAACAGCTGCATAAAACACCAAGCAAAGTTCTACAAATGTATATTTGTTTCAACTTACTCACATAAATATTTACAGACTTGTAGCCCCAAGTTGTCAATCAAACTTTCAGTCATAATAGAAGTAGCTACCAGTAGAGAAGTGGCATTTGACCAAACCTTTGATTAATACTTACTTCTTACACAAAATATTTACACATAAAACAGAGAGAGACCTATTAAAAATATTCTGATGTTCCATTACATTTCCAACACGCAGCAAGTCACTATTGTTACTCTGAGTTCAGCCCTGGCCTGTATGTGGCAGAAGGCCACATGCAGCTGTGGAAGCCATTTGGTTCATCACATGCCAAAGGCCTGGACATGGTGTTGAACACCGTATGTTGTTAGTTTCAAATACGTTTCTTGGTGTCTTACATTCTTTCTTATGAGTTGTCCCCCATAAACCAGATATAAGTTAGCAATTTTGGCTTATTATGAAGCTCTGATATAATGACCTTTGTATATTTTTTCCAGTTTCCGAAGTCTAAAAAGCATATTGCTCTTTCCCTTTAGATGCCTCTTCATTAGATTTAGAGACATTTGATGTGCATACTTTATCAGATGTTCTCAAGAGGTATATCCTGGACCTGCCAAATCCCATCATTCCAGCAGCTGTTCACAGTGACATGATTTCTGTAGCTCAAGGTATGATTATCACATTATTTCAAATGTCAAACAAAAAAGCTTTTATTAGAATTCTGAATATCTGGTGGTCCAGCTGTCGCTCACAGAACAGGGAAGATTCTGAGCAACGTGGAAGCATCTCAGAAATTGTGAATATCTTCACCACTTTTGATGAAAGCTGTTTCAGTTCAGAACTAGACATTATTCTGCATTATTCAGTTACTTATTTATGTAAATGTAATGGAAAATATAAGGGATTACACACTTCTCTTTGTTTTAGTAAGTAGAAATATTATAGAAGAACTGAGGGAAAAAATCAAGGACTTATCTGTATGCAGAAAGCTAATTTTTAACTTTTTATCAGTGCTGACAAAGTAAATGTATTAGAGGTCATGGAGTGCTGTGTTACATTGGGAGTTGCAGATTATGAAGTGAGAAATACATGTGAGATTCATCATCTACAGTGGTCATTTTAAACAAGTATGTCTTACAGTCTTTCAGCACGTGGGCCAAGTATTCTGTTATATATCTCAGGACAGGATATTGTTACTGGTAACCTTCAAAGTTAGAACAGCACCTGTGAGACTTATCTAGTGCATCTCTAAATTACCCAATCATGTGTAACGCTAAACACAAGACAGACTTCTACCAGTACACTCTGAACATATTGCGGTTCTAACCAAAATGCATATCTGTTTCCATTCGACTTTTAAATACTTGTTCTTCACTCTGCTCTGAGCACCCTACTTTTTAAAAGATGAAAGAAATCTTACGGCGCTAATGAAGGACAGAATTATTTTCTTCTGTAAAACTGATGCTTCTAAAGAAGTCTCATCTAGTTTCATTTTACTTGAATGTTCCTGTGCTGATTTCAAGAGCCTTTTATCTGTTTGCTTGCAGAAGTACAGAGCTCAGAGGAGTATGCTCAGTTGCTGAAGAGACTCATCAGATCTCCAAATATACCTCCCCAATATTGGCTCACACTCCAGTATTTGCTCAAACATTTCCTCAGAGTTTGTCAAGCCTCCAGCAGAAATCTTTTGAATGCAAGGTCTCTGGCTGAAATTTTCAGCCCTCTGCTTTTCAGATTCCAGATCACAAGGTATGTGGGTCATCTTTATCATATTTTCTTCTGCAAATATGGGTTAGTTATATACAAAAATAAGTTTAATTAAGTAATTTTCTGACCCTATTTCTGACGTGAGGGCTTTGTAAATTTTTGCAATGTTTTTTGAATAATTCTAAAGTAAACGTTTGCATTTCACCTAATTCTTACTGCCTGATCCATCTCTTGCAGCTCTGATAATACAGAACACCACATAAAAATCCTGGAAGCTTTAATCACAAGTGAATGGAATGAGAGACAGCCTGTACCAGGTAAAAATATTTTTAATTGAAGTTATATACCATCTGCTTAAATAGTGAAATTCAACTTAGGAACAGTAAATAGTTTTTTTCTTTTTTAATAAAAATTAATGCAAAGCAAAAGTGTACAATACAGAACTAAGTAGAAGTTGTCTATTTTATGTGATGAGCAATGTTTGTTTCATAAGAAGTTGTCTTTTTCATTAAAATCATTTTAATAGCCATAGTTTGTAGAGCCTTTAGAACTTTCATTTCACTTTCAATAAACAGCAAATAGGAATTTGTAGTTTTTTAAGACTTGTAAACCAATAGAATGCCTATCCTACAGTGATGGAGTGGTTAATTCTGGACGGTTTACAGAGCATTCCATTTACTCCTGGGTGAATTTTCTTAGAAATACTATGCCCCATAGAGATATTGGAAGAAAGTAAAATTTCCCCATTTATTTATATGTATATATATTTTAATCCAGATACTCAAAAGATTTATTTATTGGTAATAACATAAATATTGCAAAATATATTAAGAGCCCTCCAGGAAAGATAGATAACACTTGCATTGATTCTGTAAGTTAGCATCTAATTTAGTCAACAAACAGTAAAACCCACCTCTAATTTATGCAAAATCACTGGGTTTGAATCAAATATTTGATAAAAGCAAGGCGTAGTTGCTGACTATGTGCAAAGGAAATTATTAACGCAGGGAACTTTACATGTTAGCTCAAAGCAATTCATTTCACAGCTTATTTACAAAGAATATCTGAACAGAGGATAGGGTTATGGTGAACAGAACACTGGACAACCTGTAGCTTTCCTATCTCTCTATTCAAAGTACAAAGTGAAGTTCACGGAATTAGGATTTGTAGGGCTGGCTGAGATTTGAAAAGCTAGAGCACAGCAGCAGAAAAATGCTTTATTTCTTGTATTTCAGGTAGGCACATTGTATAAACCCCTTCATCAGCTATTGAAGATTAACTTAAAATAGCTAAAATTTTTGTTCCTACTGCTTTGGTTGAAAGGCTTTTCTCATCTTGCCAGCTCTTATAGTTAGGGAACTTTCTCTAACATTTATTGTACATCCATTTTCAACTAGTTTACACATATTTGGTTTTGTTACATTTTGTCAAAAGAGTTAAGCAGGTGTTTCCAGAACTACTGAGTGTTTTTCTTCCTAAGTCTTCATAAGTAGGAGAGTCCAGACTTTTAAATGACAATTCATCCTGTTTTAATAATCAGCAAATAGCTGTTAATTGATAAAGAATTATTTTCTTTGTCATACATTATAAGTCTTAAAAAGCAAAATAGATATTAAGTCCTCCAATATTCTAATGTTAATAGCATTTTTATAGTTGTACATTTGCAAATGCTTTAGAGTATGTAAATAAACATGTCCAGAGGCACTGATTGCGAGGTTAAAAACATAAGGTTGACAGTTTATTAAGTTTTAAAGTAAGAATTTTATAAGTTGCACTTAAGAGATCCCTTGGTTGCATTTCTGAGTTGCTTCATGTGAGGAAAGTATAAAAGTTGAAAGGTGGTGATGTTAGAACTACTAATGAGGACAAGGAGTCTAGTCATCTTGAGAATATGATTAGGATGATTGAACAAATGTCCATCAGGTTTATAGCATGTGACACTAACTGTTAATAATTATAATCAAACACCTAATTGTGTATAATATTAGTTCTGCTTTAATTAATATTTTGGATTGCAGTAATTTATTTTGAGGGTTCACCCTGTATTTTTCATGTGTTCTGTTACAAAACCAGGACTCCTTCTCTGTGCACTTCAGTGTCCATCCTGTCTAGTGGAAAGTTTTTTTAGTAGAACATTTGCACATCTATTAATATGCCAACAAATAACTTAGGTAAAAATTTTCAGGCTTTGTAATCTATGGTTAGCTAGCCTCTGCTGTTAAGCTTGTAAAGGGTTTGCATAACTTTCAAAAGCTGAATCTTCATATAATGTTCTGTAAATTTGCAGGACTAGGACCTGAGTCCATTTTCCACAGCAAAATCCTCACTGACCTGAACATCTGAAGTAGTCTGTTTTTACAGTTCTCATAGAAGACTCTTAAGATGTGTTTTTCAGAATTGTCATCTTTGAGATTATTGTTTGTAGTGGCTTGATTTGGCATAAAGATTGTTTAGAAGCATTGTAATAAAAGGAAGATTCCAATGAAATATGTCTTATTTGTCGTACAACTGTTTTGAGAATTACAGTCTTTAGTAGAATTTTACAAGTGGAGAAGTTAAGTGGTTTTAAGCAGAAAGAATTTTACATGTTGAAAATAATGTCGTGACAACTAAATGATAACAGGAAAGCCATTGCTGCCAGATTTCTTCTCTTTTTCACAGGCTGGAGTGATGGCTTCCTGCTTTCTTACTTCTCTCTGATAAGATGAGAACATTCTGTCTAAAACAAGCTATGCATGAAGTTTTAGTGGTATCTTATGCAGTACATAGAGATATTAAATGTAACGTTGGAGATAATGATCTGAATAGCGAGAAGATCTTTGCACAAATGTGGGGGTTCTTCTTACTGCATCACCCACTAATTATTCTTCTTGCCTGGGAACAATAGAAAGAAAGCAACTGGACCTAATATCTTACTGTATCTTAAATTGGGCTTAGTTGGGCATATTTTAGCTAGAATGATGCTTTGCATGCCGTAATTCAAAATAGGAAACTACCTCTACACCTTTACTTGATTTATCACAGAACAATCAGATTGGTTTTTTTTCCTCTGTCATAGTGTTCATCAGCAAACTCTGCATTTGTGAATTAGAATAGGGCTTACAATAGTTAAAGTACTAAAGTTATAATAACTGTTCATAGAATCGTGGATTCTTGGTTAGGAGGCAAAGAAAAAGTAATGTTGAAAGAAAAATAAGGCTGGAGAAAACTAGGTCAGTTTTCTGATTCCTATCTCATTCTTCAAGTTTATCAGTAGGAAAGCCCAAAGATGGTGGTGGTGGGCAAACAGGGTGATCTCCTATCCCATTTGAACACCCCAACTTGATGTACAGCTGCACAGGCTTTAATTTAAAGAGTAATGCTGATTTTTCAGTGAACAACAAAGTGCAAGTCTCTAAATATGTTATTCAAACTCTAGAAGAAACCTTAATTGTAATAGATTTCAGCAAACAGTGCTGCTTATCCTGCAGAAGGCAATCAAGTATCTTGTCTCACAGTCTCATGGATTATTCAGAGTTGTGAAGATAAACGCTGGAAAATAGTCTATATTAGGCTATATATTTATAGACAGGAGGGTTTATTTTGGTTGATTGTCTGGGATCATACAGGCTCCTGGCTTTCCTGTTTGGAGGAGGCCTGCCCTGGATGCAGATCTCAGAGTTGTCTGTGGGGCCCAGTGGGTGCTTGGGGCAGCACAGTAATTTTGGCACTAGTAGTGGGAAGGCAGGTCATACAGAGAAAGGTGGGGTCTTGGAAGAGTTGGAAGGTGATTTTTCATGGGAAGTTCAGGGAGATGGGAGTCCTTGCTGGGGTTGGGGGGTGTTAAAGAGTGCAGAGGAGCTTTGGGTGTGTGAGATTAAGGTCTGTTTTAGGAAGGCAAAGAGTAAGGGGCATGTGGTGAGTGAGCAAGGGGATGTGGAGAGCTGGTAGCATTACTGGTGAAGAGTAGAGGAAAAGCAATTGCAGAGGCAGGAAAGAGCTACCTGGTTGTATGGATGAATCAAAGCCTCTAATAGCCTGTGCACTGACTCAAGCTGAGATGCTTTATCTGAGTTGTTCATCTCAGTTTATCCCAGTTTCTCAGGCTTGTACATAACGTTGTAAATAAGTGCTCCAACTGTGAAATACTGTAGTTTTAAGCCTGAAAAAGTAGGTTTTACTATTCAGAGGATCAAGAATTAGTGAGGTAGTAAGGCTGCCTTACAAGTAACTGCTCACCTTTTGGGGATTGGGTGAAGGTCATGGCAGTATCACCAAGGTGCAGACGCTTTACTTTTAGCTACACAGAATGTTAGCAAGGGTGGGTAGCAAAACAGCTGGACTGGAGCATTGTAAAGGCTGATCCAGTTCCTCTTAGAATTAAACTCAGAGCTCCCCTGTACTGCTGCAGTGGTCAGGCTGAGACCATAGTCCTGTTGGTAGTGTCCTGGGGACATAAACTAATGTGTAGGAGTGCCGTCCTTTTTCAGGACTTTTTTGCATCGGGCCACAGTCTTGGCTGGACTCTCAGCAGCACCGAGGGTGGTTTGGAGCACGCAGAAGGCAGTTTGTCCCAGGGAAAGCGAATGCCGCACGGCTGGGAGGGATATTGTGCGTCCTTGGTTCACCCAGCAGAGGGCTCCCCTTCTAAGCTAATAAAAATCAGGCCTTATCCCTGATCTAACGGAAAGCAAAATGTTTGGTTAACCACCGTACTTTGGATGCTGTACTGCTTTAAGTCTTGACACTAGCCTGTACTTTATGTTTCTCGATACCTGCTTTGAAGTATTTGATAAAAGCTACTAGAATTCTCTACAGATTGATACGTGCATGTGTGTGGTTTTGTATGTAAGCATGTGTAACATATATGTCAAATCTGACCAGTTCTTTTCCTGCTTCAAACATAGAAAAAAATATGTAAAATTGATAGAAGAACACTGTGAGTGTAACTTCAGGTAATAATCTGCTGCAGATTAAATGCACACCACCGAAGGTTTCAAAATTTCAATAAAAAGTTAAGAGAGGGCAATATTTAAAAATATAAGCGTGTGCATCCCAGTAGCTTTTTTTGAATAAGACACTCGATTCCCTTCTGCAGGATAACTAGGAACTCATTATCTCTTTGTGGATACCTGTGCTTTTCCAAAAGATTAAAAAATTCAGTGAGCCAGGTTTGGGTTGTCTTTTCTCCTTTCAGAATATGCTTCTGCATTGTGGCCCTATAAACCAAGAAGTTTTCTCAACCTCTTCCATAATTTTAACAGTAAAGAGGCATATCAGCTACAGTCTGAAGTTGGATTAGTTCAGAAACACAGGTTTCCTTCTCCACTTGAAGTAGGCTCAACCTTTAGACTCTGCTGCTTTAAATTATATTTAGAACTGACAATTGTTCAACTAGGCAAAGGCTAAAACTACAGAAGCAAGGGATTGTTATAGGTGAAGCTAATCAATCAACTGCAAAACATCAAAAATATACTGCAGATGTTTGGCATTTCATTATTAGGTACAAGTGATGTTTTGGAACTTTAGGAGTATTTCAGAAGGTGAAGTATTAGGGAGGCAAAATTTTTGATGCTATTTGGCTGCCATAAGGAGCAATAAGAAGATCTGAAACAACGCAGTTATTAGAAATTCTCACTATTTGCAACAAGTGGGAGGAAAATATTAATCCCCTTCTCTCTTTCTTTGAATGTGTCTGCTTCTCCTTTCACTTTGAATTTATTTTCTCATAGCATTTTATCTCGCAAAGAAGGCAAAGGAGAGCAGGCTCTTCAATTGCTGCTCTGTTCCTTTAGCAAGTTTGGTCTCCACCAAACACTAAGACAAGGTAAATAAATTTGACCTAAAACTCTTCCTTGTTGCCTTCCCAAAAAATGAACAATCTTACCTACTGGAAAACACCATGGATACAGATAGGTGGTTTTTGTAGTATTTTTACTTTACAGGAATTAGATAAAAAGCCTCACAGGATCAGACTAGGGTCTTGAAGCAGCACCTGTATTTGTGATCCAGCATAAGTGTGTAGGAGGTGATGCTGTACTTGCAAGCAGGCTATTTTGCTTGCTCCCAGAGATGCAGCTCTTTTCAAGGATAATTTTTATCCCCCCCCTCCCTTTTTTTTTCCCAGTTAGCCATTTCCTGTATTTGGCTGTTCATGGTGCTTTTCTCATTTTCAATACTGTGTGCAGCATTCAGTGCTGGAGACTATTTTAAGGCCTTTTACAATGCTCTTCTCATTTACTTAGCTAAAATGAGAAAGTTAGTCCTGCATTGGCCACTTGTTAGCTGATGATAACTTTTACTTTGAATCTGGGTCCCCTCCCCCACCTGAAACCCCTGGCTCAGCAAATATTTGAACCTACCCAAGTTAATCATGAAGCTGAGATCTTTATCTGAGAGAGACGTGCAAGCTACTGAGGGTGGTGGTTTCTTTTTTTTTTTTTTTTTTCCCCACAGTGTGAAGTCAGGTGCACTTTTTAATGATGAGCTAGAGTAAGTGGATACCTTCTGCACAGCACAGAGCTTTAAGCAGTTAAGAAGAGAGAGAAGGCTTGGATTTTCTCACTGCATATTGCAGGGTTTTTAGGGATTTTTATGGATCACTGGTTGGAAAGAAGAGCATTCTCTTTTTCAGAATTTTTTTTTCTTCATTGCTTCAAAAAAGCTTCCTAGTAAAAGGAGGTTTCGGGTGTTTTCTTCTAAGACAAATTTTTATAAGAGGAAACCAATATTGGATTATATATTCCGACAGTATTACAAGGACGATCATTTGCAATGCATAATTTACAAAGTAAGTGATTTTGAATTTCTGTGTGTGTTTGCTTCATCATCTTATGGAAGTATCATACTGTAACTGATTACCAGGTAGAATTTTAGTGGTCTTAAGACACATGAATTAAAGTACTTCAGTAACTTCTCCATGTTATCTATGGAATGGGGAATAGCCTATCTGCCTCCTGTCTTTTCTTAACCTGCAGGCTAATCTAGTCTGAGCTGAGCACTAACCTGGTTATACAAGTTTGTTGAGTCGTAAATTTGGCCACCAGTGAAACCCTAGTGAAATAATTTTTCCTTAAAGTCTTTATTCAGTGGAATAAAATCTTACTGATCCCACATGAGACCTAAATGCAGCAATGTACTCTTCATAGGAAATCTTTGTTGCTTAATTTAAATAATTACCTTGGCAACTCAACTGTCTGGGTAGCAGGTGGGCTAAACCTCCAAGTTCAGTGTTTAGACTTGCGTCTGGGATGATTTTGAGTATCCTGTTTCATTTTGGAAATGACAGGAATCTTTGGAACATATCTACCTAAACTGGGAGAGTCTACTTCAGAAAGAATTTAAGCTTATTAATATATGAAGCAAACTAGCATGCACCTTTTTGTATATTTTGGTACTCCACATACACTCTTATATGTTGAGGCTTGTCTGAAAGGGGTAACCTGCTGAGGGGCACAGACAGTGCAGGGTGTGAGGGGGAAGGAAGGCAGGGATTAACATGTGAAATATTTGGGAAGCATATAAATTGTGTTAATTTTTTTAATTAACATTTCTAAGATAGAGCACATTTCAATTGCTCCAGAATTTCTTATGATGCAGACACAAATAGTTGCTACAGCTAGTTTTGTTGTGGTTATTTTTGGTCTCTGATTTTCTCCCCCTATAGATTATAGCAAGTATAAAACATTCACAATACTTCACATAGCGTTCTGCTTTGGACTTAACTGTGCATGTTTCTTCCAAGAGATGGGAGAGAATTACAGTCACTGATGCGGGGAGTTAAGATGGAATATTTCTAAATGGTAGGAGGATACTGATGATATAAAGTCAAGTGATGAAGGAGACACTGACAAGGGACTCTTGCTTTTAAAAACAATTAACTTGATAAATATTTTAGTGAGAACAAGGTAGAGAAACCATGGAAAATGCAGACTAAATCTTTTTGTATCCTGACAGACAGCAAAAACACTTTTAAAGATCTTGCTCAGTTTTGACTTTCTTCCATGTTTTCAGCAAATTTGCGAAGATTAAAATATTTGGGTTTTAGATTTCAAAATCGCTTAATCTAGATTGATTTGAACTGCATTTTGTTACATAATGATGAGAGGAAGACATCTCTATAATAAGCACATTTTGTGTAATAATATCAGACCTATGTGCCCATTAAAACAATAGAAATCCACACAGGTTAAAAACATAATCTGTATTTCACTATGTGGAGAGATATATATGTGTCTCTGTGTGTTTGTCTAAAATGAGTGTGTAATGGACATACACAAAGTCCTGCTCTTTTCCCTTCTGCATCTTTAATATGTACAGTAGGTCCAGAATCCTTTAAAAGCTTTTTGAATGGTAAACTTCGGGCATCCAAGCTGGAGAATGCAACTAAGATGTGACTGACCTGCTTCTAAATGGAGCTATCCTGTGTGTCTGTGCATATGTGCAAGAGCTACGTGCTGCAGCATATCAGCCTTTTGTCATTCTGCGAGGATTGGACTGTACCATGCTGCTAAGTCAGGAAAATGAGCTGGGAAGATGGGCACAGAGAGTCTCCTCACTCCTTTTGTGTGTAATACCAGGTTTATATTGCAGTTCTGCTAAATGTAGATTCTTTCCAAAACTGAAATTGTTTTAAGATTAATGTAGAGCAAAATGAGGAAGCAGGAGTGGTTTGGTGACATTATTTTGACATGATTGGCTGAGGATTATGATGTAATAGGTTACATTGCAGCCCCTTAAAGGTTTTAAAATGAATTCCAAGACACCATTACAAAGAAAGCCTGACTGTTTTCTTTTATCTGAGCTTACTCAGTGAAACTCATACAAATGTACAATACTGTTTGGAATATGGAAGAACTGGATATAGAATATCCTAAGACAGATATAAGTTGTGGCACAGACTTGATGTTTTACATAGAAATGGATCCACCAGGTAAAACTGCAGTCTTATTATAGAAGACTTAATAATTTTGGTCTTTGCAATAGCTGCTGAAAAATTGTTACTGGATATGTAGGATTTCTTTACTTTGTTATTGACACAAATATTATTTTTTTTCATAAATTAGAAGGAAATTGTGGTTTAGTGCATGGTTGTAGTAATTAGAATCTTAACATATACCTGTCTGCTTATTTAATTGAATTTGTAATGAATTTACCTGTTTATAGTCTCTTTAAATTATGTCAGAGGTAGTTCTAGTCCTGCTATTATATCATTTAAAAAATTGAATTTCTTTTATTATTATTTTTGCTATCTCTATTCCACACTGTGGCTAAAAGGAGATGCTGTGGTAACACTCTGATTTCCTGAAATAGTGATTATAAATCATTGATTTGGACTGTTTAAGGAAAAACAGTTTTAAAATCTAGCAGTATTAACTGAATACCTGTTATAGCACCATTTTTTTCATATTATATGAAAATATTATACCATCCTGATATTCATTATAACTTTAAAAACATTGTCTTTTGAGTCTGGTCATACTATACAGGATACGAACGATGTACTTACTGGAGAACTGAAAGAGCTGAGTTGATATTTAATGCTGATTCCAATGTAGTCCCCCTTGTTAATAAGTCAGGGCTGCAATATCTTCTCTGGCACCCACTGGTATACGTATGCAGCTTTGACATTGAGAAAAGGGGGATGTGGCTTTTAATCAGTCCTGGCATTTGAACACAATTTATTCTGTAGAATAATAAGATTAACACAAGAGATATTTGGGTCACAGATGGGTTTCTTAAACTGTTGCTTTGGGGTTTTTCTTTTTTTTTTTTTTTTTTGCATATCATTGCACAGAATGCACACCATCACAAAAAGCCAATCCTTTTTCAAATATACAGTATTGCTGTGGGTTTGCATTTTTTATTACTCAGCTTCTAGGTAAGGAAGCAGCAAAATTTGTCTAAGATCTTTACATAGGAGGATAAAAAAAATTTGTCATGTTTTATTATTTGTGTTCACCTGAAGGTAGTGAAAGAAGGTAAAAGCAAACTTCAGATTTTTTTTCTCAAATGCTTTCTTCACAGGGGGAGGAGGTGAGTTTACTGTTATATTTTTCTTAAAATACATTATTACAAGAGTAACAGTTTTTTGAAACAGTACAACTTTATTTTGAATTATTTTGTTTTCAGTACAGTATCTTGATTCCTCTAATGTCTTTTAAAAATTGTTAGTGATGGAGAACTCTGTTTGGTTTTTTCCTCATTCATAGAATCATAGAACTCATGTGAGTTCAAGGAATATATGGTCGTGTTCTCAGTGAGTTATAATCAACTTTTCCCCCCTTTCATTTGCAGCCCTGCCTCCTAAGCCACCAAAACCTAATACTGTAACTAACAATAGCATGAATAACAACATGTCATTACAAGACGCAGAGTGGTACTGGGGAGATATCTCAAGGTAAATCAGCTCAAGACATATATTTCTTATATTTGGCTTGATGTTCTTGCTGTGCTATTCTGTGTATATGTATTATGCTTCAAGTGTAAAAAATTTAGCCATTTTTAGGATATTTTCCAACACAAACATACTATAGCTGGTTTTATTCCAAACGTGACTAAAAAGTTACTGGCAGTCAGTTAAAATGTAGTATGCCAAATGATGGTTCTGTTACTTTAAGATAGCTATATGAAACACTAGCATGAAAGGACAGCAGCAAGAAATAAATATTTTCTTGTCTTTCATCCAAAACCCCAACTGTAGGCATAATAGTTAACAAATCAGACTAACAAGTACCATATATTAGCAACATTTTTAACTGTACTATATATAGGTACATTAGGCCAGCATTGAATGCACCAATTATACAGGCTTGTATGAACAAGCAGAAAGACCTTTGTATGAATAATAATTTTGTCCAGCAGTGAGAGGACAGAGTATGCCATTTTTATATCCCAGTTTTCTCCAGAAACTTTAAATGAGCTATTGAATAATTGTATTTATTAATATGGAGAACTAGAAGGCTTCTAAAACCCACCTGTTCTAAACCAGAAGAATTTAGGGCACGGCAAGAGAATGAATGTGTAAGAAGTAACTTAAATGATTGGTTACTTTTGCTTTCATTTTAGGGAAGAAGTAAATGAGAAGCTTCGAGACACTGCTGATGGTACCTTTTTGGTACGAGATGCTTCAACCAAAATGCATGGGGACTACACACTTACTCTAAGGTGAGATTAGTTACATAGATCTGTAATACTTGATAAAGTATTACTTGATAAAGTGCAATAACTACATTTAACGTACAGCGTGCTTTAGGAAGTAGTACTTGAAGTATGCCTAACTTTTCAACATACTGTATTTGCAGGAAAGGAGGAAATAACAAATTAATCAAAATTTTTCATCGAGATGGAAAATATGGTTTTTCTGACCCATTAACTTTCAACTCTGTGGTCGAGCTAATAAACCACTACCGGAATGAATCTCTAGCCCAGTATAATCCTAAACTGGATGTAAAATTACTGTATCCTGTATCTAAGTACCAGCAGGTAATTTAGTCTATTTTCTTTGTGTTTCACTTAAATACAGAGAAATTACTGCAGGCTGAGAAGTCATTTATCATTAAGAACTTCAGTTCTGTAAATCTGTCAAAAAATAAAGTGTGTGTAAAACCTGATATTTTTGTTTAAAAAGTACTCCACACTTTGCATGTAAATTTGAAAATTTAAATACTGCAGATACATTATTAAGAAATAAATATCTTAGTAAATATTCCATTCAATGATAGAATATATAATTTTCAGTATAAAGCTAGACACTTGCAATACAGATTTTCTTTTAATCATTGATTTCTCATTTGCATATTATCCATTTAGTATTATCTCTGCATTGAAGAAAGAGGAATCATATTTCCATGTAATTATCCAGGCATTTTTAAGTAGTTTTATCCGGAAAATCTCTGCAATACAGTTGGTTCTTTATGGAATATCTTTCTGCTCATCATTCCAGGATCAAGTTGTAAAGGAGGATAGCATTGAAGCAGTGGGAAAGAAATTACATGAATATAATACCCAGTTCCAAGAAAAAAGCAGAGAATATGACAGACTCTATGAAGACTACACAAGAACGTCTCAGGTGAGCTATATTTGAACCAAAGGGAGACCAGAAGACTTTGTAGATTTTAAAAAATATTATTGTGAATTCTTGCTGCCGTCTTTCTACTCCTCCTTTCTGCCACCACTGCCAGTGCCCTCATACACTTGCTCAGACTAGTACAATTGCTTGCTTGTGTTTGAACAGCCATCACCTGTAAACTTAACCACCTTGTGCTCAAGTCTGACAACTCCATCCAAACCAAGTGCATAACTACCTGGATTTACCAGCACTTTTGCTCATGAAACTAAGTTATGGTTTTCAAGGCAAGTTTGCAAGGAAGCATTACGTTTTATTATTAGTTTTTGAAAGGTCTGATTTACATGTGCAGGACAGAGAGATGACGTGTGTAGACACAGTGCAGGAATGACAAGCTACCTCTGTCCTCCTTTCAGCTTAATCAGTTATTAGCCACATCTTGAAGTGCCAGTGAATTAGTGTGGCTTTACAGATTCAGAAGCAAGACTGCTTCTTGAAATGTGCAGGAAATAAACCTAAAAGTATTTGAAGAAAAGTGGAGAACTTCTGGCAACTTTAATTTGAATGACTTGACTATCAACTTGGTATGTAGTGGCGCGATAGGCTAGATGATCTCCTGAGACCTGTTCAGGCCAGTATCTTACGCCTTTGTTTCCGAAAGCCAGCTATACCCCTAAGGACATTAGTTGGTGCAAAGGGCAAAGGGTACTGCCATACGGCTCTAAGCATTACAAATAAAATTTATTTATACAAAGCAAAGATTGTAACTGGTTCTTTTTCTAGCAGTTTTACTTTCTTGATAAACCTCACTATGGAAAGCCTATCATGATAGCCTTTTGCACAAGCCTATTGTCTCTCTGTCATAAGGCTTTGCAGAATGCCTTTTTGGTAAAAGGATATTGAAGTCTTGTTTTACAACATACTGAAGTGTTTCTGTGGTAGAAGCCAATAAATTTTCTGCTTTTGTCTGATATCAACTGTAACAACAATTACTTTATTTTCAGGAAATTCAAATGAAAAGAACAGCTATTGAGGCATTTAATGAAACAATAAAAATATTCGAAGAGCAGTGCCAAACACAAGAAAGATACAGTAAGGAGTACATTGAAAAATTTAAACGGGAAGGAAATGAAAAAGAAATACAGAGGTTAGTATTTGGGTTTGCATGTCAAATTGTGTGATTTTTGAAAAAACAAACTGCCAAGTATAGGTGTGCCTGAAACTGAAGCAAGATGACAAGTTTAAAGTTGTTCAGTTGTAAGCAAAGAAGCCTCAAATAAGGGTACAAGTGAACTTGTGAAATATATAGCTACATCTAGAGAAGTAATCTGTTCTCTTAGATGTCTACACGTCTAAATAGCAGATTATAAAGTTATGAGGAAGAGATCAGAGTTTAACCTACCACATTATTCCATCCAGAATTATGCACAACTATGAAAAACTGAAGTCTCGGATAAGTGAAATTGTGGACAGCAGGCGTAGATTAGAAGAAGATTTAAAGAAGCAAGCAGCTGAATATAGAGAAATAGACAAGCGTATGAACAGCATTAAGCCAGACCTCATTCAGCTGAGGAAGACAAGAGATCAGTACTTGATGTGAGTATCATGAATTAAAAAATTGGAGTTGAAGTTGTTTGGTTTTTTTTTTATTATTATTATTTAATGGTATCCAACTTTTGTGACTAAAAATTAATTCTATTTACAATTATTGTCCAGGTGGCTGACTCAAAAAGGTGTTCGGCAAAAGAAGCTAAATGAATGGCTTGGAAATGAAAATGCAGAAGAGTAAGTATTGAAAGACTTAAATATTTCTGGTGTTTCAAATCATCTTACGCAGCAGTGAGATAAAGCATATTTAATTCTTGGACCGCACAGAGGAAATCTCAAGCCTACTAACAATGCACACTGTTAAGACATGACAGCTTACATAATGCAAGTACTGGAAAGGATGCTGTCTCACTCCCTACTCCATTTTTTCAGGAAGTGTATAATCAAGTTACTATAGCAAAGCACTGAAATGTAACCTGTGTCACATTCTTACCAGCAAAATTAAGTTCATGAGGTGTTAGTACCTTAGAGAGATGTGATATGGATTGACAAATTCTTAAGAAGGTTTCTTAGGCATGAGCAGCCTTTTTCTGAATTTCTACTGTTGGTACCACATTCTTATCTCCTGTAGTGGTACCCACATGAGTATATCACATTGCTGTTGGAGATGATAAATTTGTATATGCTGAGGAGTGGTCCTTCTCTGGTTTTGTGATCTATTTAATTTTTCCAGAAAATGTATAGTATTCTGTCATTTCAAGCAATTTAGTATACGGGGATAGGCTAATAAATGCATTTCATTTCATTCCTGGAAAAAAAGCAAAAAGCACTTGGGTTTTGTGAACACAGCAAAAGCAGGACACAAAATAATATCTGAAGTGTAATAACAGTGAAGAATGAACAAATAGAAAATGAAAGTTGTCTCAGTAATATTTGTACAAACATTTTCTGCCTATGTAGTTTCTTATGCATGCCTTTTATGCTGCTTGGTTAGATATACAACAAAAGCAGCAGACTGACAATGACTCTTTAGTGGTTTTACATTCTAGCCTTGTCTACATCTATTTTAATTTGGCTTGGTTTATTGAGTCTCTTATCCTAGAAATTGTGCTTATCTGCTGTGGTAGAAGCAGGAGATAAAAATGACATACACGATTTAAAGCCATGTTGTTTTCTGAGTATTAGGACAATTCAAAGATGTTACTATGTAAAATATCTAGCCACCTGTTCCCAGAAGTATTCCTATTACTTAAACAGTAGAGAAAGAATAATGCCACACCATGACTTTAGTGTAACATCAAAATAGTAAATGAAGCTGTTTAAAGAACATCTTCCTTTTCTCTCACTCTGTGACTCCCTGCCAGCGATCCTGGTAACTGCTGAAAAATTGAACTTTTGATGACTCTTTTTCTGAAGTTGTAATGCAGAAAAAAACCCAAACAGCAATATAATGAGCAAGATAAAAAACAGGAATTACACTCTCTAGATTGAAAATAGAGCCACTACTGAATGTATTTGACTGTCATGCAGGCCAAAAGAGTATAAGGGTATAAGGGACCTGAAGAGAGTGTTACCTGAAACAGAAGAACCCTTTTTCTTTATGAAAATTGAATTCTGTTGAGATTGCTGCTTTCTGTAGACTACGCCAAGTATCTTCAGAAAGACAGAATCATGGATGAGTGAGAGGTCATCTTTTCATAAAACAAATTAAAAACCTATTACAGAGAGAATAAATGCGTTATCCAAACACAGACTGACTGCAAGCTGATCAGGAGAGGCAGGGCCCACCAGTACAGGCGGCTGGGGAAATGGGGAGCTCTGGAGCTGCACAATACCGAAGTGATGTCCACAAAACCGAATCAGATGCATCTTCTTTCATGGTGGGCTCCAGAGGGCTCTCTGTAACTCTGAAACAGCTGTATACTCAGTAGCTGATTTGGTAGAAAAGGCCCTTTATTATATGCTCTTCTCATAATCTGCTTAATAAGGAGAAAGAGAGAAAGCACTCTACTACTGCATCCTTTCCACAAAAGCATCTACCCTATAAATAATTATCCTGTCTACCTGTACAGCTACTCAAAGCTTCTTCAAGCAGCAGCTGTAGTTGATACATTGCATGATTTTTCATTGCTGACCAAGTGTTCTGATCTTTGGAAATCAAGCTGACTCAGAGGGTATTGATTTTGTTGGGCTTGCTATTTACCAAAATAGTGAGCAACGGTAGTACTGGAGTGCTCACAGCAGGTTCTGAAAAATAACACAGCATCTTTTTATATTCTTTTTCAGATTTACATGAGTGTTCTTCAAAGAAATAAGAAACAGAGCTTATATTTTAGTTGTATTCAGTGGTTTGAACAGTGCAATATTACTTGGTTTACATTTCTAGTGCCAGGGAGGCACTGGACTAACCACTGGGGTTTTTTTTCTTTTTTGTAAGTAATATGAAATGGAGACTACTTAATTAGTGGATTTTGCTCTGCTATGTGTTTCACAAACACATTTTTTTCCAATTTTGACAGCCAATACTCTATGGTAGAGGATGATGAGGACTTGCCCCATCATGATGAGAGAACATGGAATGTGGGAAATATCAATAGAAGCCAAGCTGAAAATCTGCTGCGGGGAAAGCGAGATGGAACATTCCTTGTTCGAGAGAGCAGCAAACAAGGCTGCTATGCCTGCTCTGTTGTGTATGTATCCAGTTTGTGAATGATGTAAACAACATTTGAGGGGCCTACCTCGAGCTTGGAGCAGACAGACACTTGCATATGCATAATTCCTGTTGGACCTTTGGGCTTAGAAGCACATCAGCAAGTCCTGAGGCCATTCTCTTTGCTGCTCCATTTCCTATACAGCTCCAAGCTGTACCACTCCCACAGATAAGCCTTACTCAGAAGGGAAACGAAAGTATGGGTGTACTCCTTTCAGTGCAACTGCTAAGTCCTACCTATCTGCCACCTCCCTAAGGCTGCATGACAGTTGTGAATTTGGACTAAACCCAGGTTTTTACCATTCTCTCACCACAGAAGAGAGGAATTCTATATACTGACTAGCATCTTAGGATTTATTGCCAATACCTTATTTTATATCTCAATGTTACTGTACTCACAAATTAAAAACTGGTTGTTTTTCTTCCTTTTTAGGGTGGATGGAGAAGTAAAGCACTGTGTGATAAACAAAACACCCACTGGGTATGGATTTGCAGAGCCATATAACTTGTACAACTCGCTCAAAGAACTGGTGCTACATTATCAACACACATCACTTGTGCAGCACAATGACTCTCTCAATGTCACGCTAGCCTACCCTGTATATGCACAGCAGAGGCGATGAACATCTTAGTACTGCGGGTTGTTTGTTTTTTTCTAAAGAAATGATTTGACAACACTGAGGCCTCTGGAGAGAAAAGGCTCCTTTCAGCTTTACTCAAGAATTTGCAGTATCAAAGCTATCTGTCTTCAGACAGGACTAAAGATTTCCTTCACAACTGCAGTGGGAGAAATCACAGTAGTAAGCTGTGAATGTATGTTTGTAATCTGAAGTGCTTTTTGGTTTTTTTTGTAATTAAGAAAATTAAAACACAAGAAAAATCCAAACCTGATCTCCCTGCAGGGACGTAGAGGCCTTTAAGCATGGTGCTTGTTTACGACCACTTCTGAAGCTTTACCAGCTAGAACTTTGGGTTATCCAGACACAAGGTATAAGAGGTCTGTGTCATTCAGTTATTGGAATTTCGTGGTTACGACCTGACTTGGAATGGTGTTGCTGCACTCAGTGGATCCAGACATACAGCATTGTGGATTTTTTTGGTTTTAAGTGAATGATATGTAGCAGAATGAATGGCACTTTCATTTGTAAGGGACACTTTAAAAGGACTTCAGTTACAGTCTGTTGTTCAGAGTAACTGTAATAGCAAAGTGCCAGGAAGTGTTTTGTTTAGATGATTAAAAATCCTGTTTTAAGAATATATTTAAAACTGAAGAAAACAGGACTTTTCAGTGGCATACAGTGTATAATAATGTACATAGTACTGGGTGACTAACTAGCATTGATGGAAACTGTCAATACCAGACTGCTGCTTTTTTCCCTTTTCTGTTTGCTGAAAGCTGAGTTCTTAGACCATGCTATGCAATACTGAATTTTCTTTAGGCTGTAGTCTTCTTTCAAGCATATCTACGGGCTTCTTTTTCTTTCTTGTTTCCTTGTCTTCTTTTATTTGTTATTTCTTTTGCCTGAGAATATTTTTCCTGATTATTTTTTTGTTACTGATTTTCTTGTTTGCTTGTTTGTTTTATGGGGCTTGCTTTTTTTGAGAGAGTTTTTGTTTGGTTTTTTTGTTTGTTTATTTTTTAATGTACAGGAAGTCAGCAAGAGCTGGCTTCAGAATTTAAACTATTAAATATTTTACAATTTTCTTTAGAAAAATAGAATGTTGAGCTACTAGCTCAAAGTTTAAAAGTTCATAAAATTTTTTTGACTAAATATTTTGTTGGGCAGTGCCTGAAAAGCTTCAAAGCTGCTTTATTCAATAAAAAATATATGAACATTACGAAATATCACTGAATCCAACAATACTGTTTCGGAGATATCTTTAGAATACGGTACCATGCTACATTTGCTTCTTGAAGCATTTGAACTTTTGTCACAATTGTCTTTGTCTTTGGAAGACAAAAAAAAATAGTGTATCCTTCTTTGATAGTGACTGCAGAAAAAATGGGGATATTTTGCTACTGCAGTGTAGAGTGTAGATAGTTTGGATCTCAGAATGAATCCACCTTTCACAGTAAATAATGACTTCTTGACCTGTGGCGGAATTTTTGTCAGCACGTAAAGGTATTTTCATTTCATATGAAGGAAGTTTCTCTAATTGTTACCTAGGGGCTTTTTGTATTAGTATTGTGGGAAAAAAATGCTTCCACCTCTACTGAGAATGTTTGGATACAATATAGAGCTAATTAAGGCTGGAAAATGTCTTTTTTTTTTTTTTTTTTGAAAATGATTAGGCTATGGTACTTGCTTTCAGAAGCTTTTAGGCTGAGGAAGTATCAAAGTGAACAGTTTCATAATTTCAAAACATCAGAGATTTACAGAATTATGATTCAGTCAAACAAAACAAATACATGAATCCTACTAAACCAGATTTATTAGTAATTCTGGTATAATTCACTGTCTGTGGTTTGCAATGGTTATTTATTGTCCTGACCACTGAAGAAACATTGCTGATTGATAAAGTAACAAACTTCAGAGAAATCTTGGAAAAGATTTTATTAATATGAATTTATTCTTGCCCCAGGATTACAAAAGGCAATACCCATTACTATTAGAGAGAGTTGCGCACACAATCAAAAGAGCAAGACCGTTGGGGTTCTCCCATAATACCTCTGGTTTAGAGATACTTGTGTTTTATTTCGGAATATGCAGGGCTTTATAAGCTGTTGGAAATAATAAGAGGAAATTTGCTGGGCTCCAATGATCTTTACATTATCATTTCATTTTCAGATTGTTACTTCGGTTCTGAGGCTGTAAGGCTTTTGATTTTATTTTGATTTTGTGCTCCTTTTTTTTGGTGGGTTCTCTTTGCTTTCCTATAGGTGTATTTTCTTACTAGAATTTATATCAGGAAACACGATTAAACAAATATCAATGTTACATGATCGTCATCAGTTAAAAAATTATTCTGAATATTTTTCCTGAATAGAAGTAGAGTCTTCATCCCTTCCCTTCCCTTCCCTTCCACATTCCACCTTCTCTTCAGGCCTGTAGGATCATGTAAATTTGGTATGCTAATAACTGGTTTTTACTGTGAAAAGCACCAACAATTACTCTAACATGCCAGTTATACTACTGGGCTTGAGGTTACAGATTAGTTCAGTATACAGCAGTTTAACACTTGTAGCAATCCAAGATATTCTTTGGACATATATTAATTTCTGAATGTTAAATATTTTAAGAGTAAAATTGTAATTTTTTTCTCTGTAGGCAAAATATATGTAATCTGAATTGATGTTTCACATAGCATTTGTCAAGAAATTTTATCATAGTTAAGGCATTTGGATCTAATTTTCCTTGTATTAAGAAAACCCCTGCTATGTCAGTGGGCCATATCCTTAGCATGCCCAGCCCCGTGTGGAACATAATTCCATACTGTATGGAAACATAATTCCAGTTTGCTGTGCAGCTTCTCTTCATGTGTGGCTATAGCAGAAAAAAAAACCCCAGTGCATATGAGATTTGGCACTTGATCTTCTTGCACAAGCAACAGTGAGGAATAAGCACTATGTTGCAAGGATGAGTGCTTAGGGCTTCTTAAAGGGATGTTCTGCCTATACAGGGTCTATGCAATTTGCAGGGATCAGTTAACACCCTCAAATTTGCATGAGTGGGTTTTCTTTGGTACTTACGTATTGTGTGGCCTCTGCATTTCTCTCCCTCCTTAATGCACAGAGCTAAATCCTGCCAAAGGCCCTATTCACTGCAGAGTTTTTTGTCTTTAATGTACCATATTGTTCACTCCAGTTTTGATTTGATCTCAAACAGACTACTATATACAGGAAAAAAAAGCATGGGGATATAACTGAAGAAACACAGTGTTTTTTTTCTGTACTTCTGTTGATGTGTAGCTTTTTCATCTAATATAATATATGGAAAGGGCTTGTTTTGTTGGGGGGGGGGGGATTTTTTGTTTTGTTTTAAATTCCTGAGGTAGGCTGCACTGCAGCATCTCTTTCACAAGGCCTTTGAAAGGTATGAGACATAGCAAAGAGAACCAAAACTCCCAAGCAAAATTAGTAGTTTCTGATTTACTTAGGTTGAAATTTGAATTTGCAGGTTGGGGATATGTATCTGCACATACGGGTGTACACTTGCTGTGTTTATGTGTGAACAGATCCCAATATAGGTGCATTTTCACCTTTCATTCAGAACATGATCATTTTGCTGAATTCAGTAAGCGATATCATTAACTTTGTTTAAAGGCGCATACATGCACACTAGACCTTTGTGGGTGCAGCATGTTTCCAGATACAGTTAGAAAACTGAGTTTCTGTGTTGTTGGATAGTTTCTTAAAAAAGAAAAAAAAAATGGGGAAAAAAAAAAAGCAAACTTGTCTGTATGGTTCCGTTATCTAAGAAATTTTGTCAAGCAGTCTGTAAAACCAAATCTTCAGCTTTTTTATTTGGTGTCAACTGTTCTGTAGTGAAGAAATGGCTTTGTCTTGTAATTGGCAATGAAATAATAGTGCTTGGGAAAACATTCAGATGCTTCTAATGAGGAAAACTTATGCTGATTTTCACACAGTGCTTTTGCTATGCATGGTATTAAGTTGGGAAAGTGAATCCTGATACTAGTTTTTTTCAGGGTCACTTTAGAAATGGGCAGTTCAAAGCACAATGCCTCCCATGGGACAAGGCTATAAAGTGCAACATTTTATGTAGAATCATGTTGTATTTACTGCAGTTGAGACTAAACTGTGGGAATTGGTAACATTACCTTGCCCTTGTCCTGATGAGATTGCATTAGCTGCCCAAGATGCTGCTATTTTTTTTTTATTCTTGTTTTTTAAAATAAAGCTTTGTTCTGTTAAATGTCTTCAAAACATTGAAATTACTTTGTTTTAAAATTGTCTTTGAGGAGGTGATGGGTAAACCAGGTTGTAAATTGCCTTTACAAGGCAATAGTGAAAACATGCCTCCAAGTTTTGTTCAAGCTGTAGAGTTCATGGAGCTGTGTCTTGTTTTTGAATTGCTTTAAAAATTGTAATAAGTCTTCAAGCAGAATAAAGGTTGTTTTGAAACTGCATTTCAGTTGTTGAGGCTTTAGTAAGGACTGTGATGTCTCTTTACCAGCATCCTTGGGTAAATCTTCCTGTCTATATGTGGCCTTCTTTGAAAATGATACCCAAATGCTCATATTATTAGAGTGAACTAGGGAAAAATAATTTTAGCAGATGCTCAGCCATCCTGTATCTTGAACTGAATAGTGTTGGTTGGGTAACTCCAAAATAATCTCCGGAGCAGTGTCAATCTGCTCATCTCATAATATTTCAAAAGCAGTACAATACTCATGATCTGTGATCTGCCCTCTACAGTGCATTGTTTGCTTCCTCTCACTATTGAGGGTAGATGGTGTCTGACTTCTTTGAGTCCATTCATGTCTTCCCACAAAAGAGGTCCTCTGGGTAAGTCAGCCAACCACTCTGGAAGCAGAAGGAGATTCCTATTCACATTCTGTCCGAAGTTTCCATTCCAAAATTTGCTCACATTTTGCTGACACTAATCTCTAAATGCCTTTGACTGAAGTACTCAGGTAGCATGGACTTGAAATAATTTTTAATAATCACAACATTGTCACTGGCCCTTAGAGATTCTTACAAGAAACTTAGATTAAGGACTATTATCATATTGTTACCCTGCTTCATGCAAAGTGGGGCTAGATCTCCAATGCATTTATCTGTTACAGTGTTTCTGTTAGTAAGCTGATTCTTTCATACAGATGCTGTTTTTCTTGTTCCTGTCCCCTGAACTAATGCTGAGGAACACAAATGGCTGAGCTGTAGAGTCAGCATCTAAAAATA